TTATATTCAATTTATTTTTATAAAGCTTTTATCCTCTAAAAAATTCATGAGTCCGCCAGTGCATGTACATATAAGTCACATCACTCCCTCTCCGTTGGTTAATGTGGGATGTTACATGTGTAGCCTTGTCAACACGACAAACAAAAGGAAAATCTAGCCAATGGGTCCAAGGTTCAAATTTTTTGTTCATATGTTGATGGGTAGATAATAGAATTGGTCATGACTGAATTCGTGTTGACTGTTGAAGAAGATATGGTCCAAGTTTCAAATTTTTTGTTCATATGTTGATGGGTAGATAATAGAATTGGTCATGACTGAATTCGTGTTGACTGTTGAAGAAGATATAAATTTGCTCAGACGTAAGTAAGGCGCGGCTCATTTCTATATTACCATAATAATGAAACAATTGAAACGCAAATTGATTGACTTGGTCCATTGCGGCTGACATGCAGCGCCTTACTTACGTTTTAGCAAATTTATATACCTTCTTCAACAGTCAACAAGAATTCAGTCATGAAACTTGGACCCATTGGCTAGATTTTCCTTTTGTTTTGCCGTGTAGACTACACAAATCACTTTCTTTGCTAGATTTGTGCTTTATTGCTGTGGTTTTTTTTTTGGTAGTGGTTGGAATAACTTGTATTCTTTCTTCCAGGACAGAGGCAAATATTTTTCCAACCAATGTAACTTGTGGTTGGCGGTTCATCAAATAGAAAATCATCACCGGTTGGGTTCATACGGAAGCAATCTCAGCTGTTCATTTCATCTGTATTTTTTGTGATAAATGTTGAAACCCACCTTGGTACTTGAAGGGAAAAGTCCAATAATAAAGACTCATTGATCGCAGCCCTGCTTGTTGCTAGGTTCTATCTTGACCTCTGGTCAAGCTTTTTTAGCTAGTTGGCAGAAATATAGTGGCAGAAAAATAAATATAAGGAGAGCGCAAATTGTGCTCCACCACTACCAACTTAACTTGTGCATTATTGCAGGAGCATGGTAGGTTTAATTAAGGCTTATTATCACAAAAGGTCCCTAAGGTTTACGAAACTATCAGATTGCATCCTTAATGTTTTTTTGTGTCACTCGTGGTCCTCAAGGTTAGTATGTATAATCACAAATGGTCCTTGCCGTTAGGTTCCGTCAAAAACTCCGTTAGTTTGCTGACGTGGCATATATACATATCACAAAACATCCCTAAGGTTTACACATCTATCACAAATGGTCCTTGCGAAATTTTTTAATTTTTTAATTTAAAATTCATAAAATTTTGGTTTTCTTTTTTATATTATTTAAAAATATATATTGTATTTTAAATACATATGACACTATATTTTTGAAGATGTGGGCTCCACATATATGCCACACCAACAAACTAATGAAGTTTTTTTAAAATAATTTAAAATTCATAAAATTTAAAAATGAAAAAAGATCAATTTGGGATATTTATTAACAAACATGCAGCATAAATATAAATCAACCATACTGCTGATGATGATGTGACAAATCACATAAATTTTCATGTTACCTTCTCATAATTTAATTTATTCTGTTGTTGTCAAAGTTTGGAAGGGGGAATGGAAGGTGTCATTGCGATTCCAACCTATAATTACTGATATGCTAGCAAATGCTCTTATCACTGAATTATTGACCCGTTGGCATCTTCCCAAAAAATGAGTGAACATAAAATTTGAGATGATGTTTGGTGCGTCAAGTTACGAAAAGACTATAATAAGGAGTTTAGAGTGAGCAGCTTATTTGAGAGATTTAAACCCACTATCAACATATACGAGGAAACTAATAAATTTAAACATTTCAAATAGTCTGATGGTAGGATTAAACCCCTCAAGCCAGCCCCCAGCTATATTTCCATGTCGTTTGGGCTGGCCATGTTAAGTTGTCTCATCTCACGTTGTTGCTGACAAGCTTTGTAAACTTGGCCCCAATCTTATTGCATGCTTGGTTGACCACATGAACTGAGTTTCTCCAAAGGTGACAAAATTTTTCTTGCAGGCAGAAGAGTTTATCTTTGACTTTTTGCCACAGATGGGACGATGATGACTTTCCTGCCCAAGTCCAATCTCCACCAAGTGACCAAAACCATGGGGTAGAACAGAAAATTCAAGTCCACTCTCTCCCTCTCTCTTTCTCTCCTTTCTTTTAAGTTTAAGTTCTTGGTGCAATAAAGTATCTAGAACTTGTCTGCAAATTGGTTTTGTGCAGCCATGGATGCCAAAACCAAACAAAGTTTGGTGCTTTTGCTTTGCTTATGCCTACATCTCAAAACCCAGGTTTGCATTGCAGCTGACACCATCGCTGCAAACCAATCTATCTCTGGTGATCAAACCATTGTCTCTGCAGGAAAGGTTTTTGTGCTAGGTTTCTTCAAACCAGGTAATTCTTCAAACTACTACATAGGCATGTGGTACTCTAAACAAGTGGTATCTTTGCAGACCATAGTTTGGGTGGCAAATAGGGAAACACCAGTTTCTGATAGATTTTCTTCAGTCTTGAGGATCTCAGATGGTAATTTAGTTCTCTTTAATGAGTCCAACACTCCAATTTGGTCCACAAATTTAGCCTCCACCACCACCTCAGGTTCTGCACAAGCAGTTCTTTTAGATAGTGGAAACCTTGTCTTAAGAACTGCTGGGTCTAATGCTAATACATCAGAGCCTTTGTGGCAAAGCTTTGATCATCCAGCTCATACATGGCTACCAGGAGCTACAATGGGATTCAACACTGTCACCAATCAAACCTTAACTCTCACTTCATGGAAGAGTTCAGAGGATCCTGCACCAGGTATTTTCACTCTTGAGCTTGACCCCAATGGAAGTAATGCGTATCTCATAGTTTGGAATAAGTCTACACCGTATTGGACCAGTGGATCATGGGATGCAAAGTCACGTATTTTCAGCTTGGTTCCTGAGATGAGGCGTAAATATATCTTCAATTTCAGCTATGTTACAAACAAAAACGAAAGTTATTTCACCTATTCTGTTTATGATCCTAAGATGATATCTCGATTCGTGATGCATACCTCAGGGCAGATTCAGCAACTCACATGATTGAAGATTTCCAGCCAGTGGAATTTGTTTTGGAACCTACCAAGAAAGCAATGTGAAGTTTATGATTTATGCGGGGCATTTGGCAGTTGCAACGAGGTAAGCACGGTCTCCTGTAATTGTTTGACAGGTTTTGAGCCAAAGTTGCAGAGGGATTGGAATTTGCAAGCTTATTCTGGTGGGTGTAAAAGAAAAACCCCTCTGCATTGTGAGAATGCTACTAGCGCTGACGGGAAGCAAGACCAGTTTCTGAAAATGGCTACTATGTCATTGCCTGAAAATGAGCAGTCTGTGAAGGTTGAGACTATTGCTGGATGTGAATCAATCTGCTTAAATAATTGCTCTTGCACTGCTTATGCTTATAATAGCAGTGGATGTTCAATTTGGATCGGAGAACTCTTCAATCTGCAACAACTCACATCAAGTGATAGTCAGGGAATAACTTTGTACCTCAGACTTGCAGCTTCAGAGTTTAAGGGTCCTAAAAGCAATAAGGGATTGATTATTGGTGTTGTGTCTGGCTCAGCTGCTGGAATAGCAATTCTCCTAGGCCTTATTTTGGTTGTAATCTTGAGACAAAGGAAGAGAGTGACTGGAACGGGAAAAGCAGTAGAGGGTTCATTGGTGGCCTTTGGATACAGAGATCTGCAAGATGCAACAAAGAACTTCTCAGAAAAATTGGGGGGAGGAGGCTTTGGTTCTGTTTTCAAAGGGACCCTGCCTGATTCATCTGTCATAGCAGTAAAGAAGCTTGAAAGTGTTAGCCAAGGAGAGAAGCAATTCAGAACTGAAGTGAGCACAATTGGGACAATTCAACATGTCAATCTTGTCCGGCTTTGCGGGTTCTGCTCTGAAGGTACAGAAAGGATGTTGGTCTATGATTACATGCCGAAAGGATCATTGGATTCTCACCTTTTCCATGATAAGCGTCCAAATGTTTTGGATTGGAAAAAAAGGTACCAAATTGCTCTGGGGACAGCAAGAGGGTTGGCTTATCTTCATGAGAAATGCAGAGATTACATCATACATTGTGACATAAAGCCAGAAAACATTCTTTTAGATACTGAACTTGGTCCAAAAGTGGCAGACTTTGGCCTTGCAAAGCTTGTTGGAAGAGATTTCAGCAGGGTCCTGACAACTATAAGAGGGACAAGAGGCTATCTTGCACCGGAGTGGATTTCAGGAGTGGCAATAACAGTGAAAGCTGATGTTTACAGCTATGGAATGATGCTGTTTGAATTCGTGTCGGGACGACGAAACTCTGAGCAATCTGAAGATGGCAAAGTTAGATTCTTCCCAAGTTGGGCTGCTAGCCAGATAAGCACTGCAGAAACTGATGTGCTGAGCCTATTAGACCCCAGGCTAGATGGAAATGCTGATGTACAAGAGCTCACAAGGATTTGTAGAGTTGCTTGCTGGTGTGTTCAAGATGATGAGGCTCATAGGCCATCAATGGGCCAGGTGGTGCAAATCCTTGAGGGAGTTTCAGATGTCAACCTGCCACCAATACCAAGATCTCTTCAAGTCCTTGGAGACGACCAGGAGCACATAATCTTCTTCACTGAGTCATCCTCAAGCCAGAGTTCACATCAAAGGAGCAATAACACTTCAACAGCTCCCTCTCAGACCAAGAGCACCACATCTTCAACCATCTCCAAGAGATCTGACGAAGAGCATCAAATAAACACTTGATGTGCCTTTTCCATTTGGTCATTTGGTTTGAGCCTTCTAAGTAATTGTCATATGTATTATATATTTTTATATAGCGTCTTTTGATTTGGTATGATAATTGTATTATTGTTTATATATATGCCAAGAACCTTGCTTCAGAACAAAGTCTTTGGAGATAAAATTGCTGTTTCTA